TCCATCTATTGGTGGGGAGCAACACTTGCTGGAAACCGGGTCCAGCGTCCCTGAAATACATCATGACATTGATTGGTTCATATGAATGAAAGAAAATGCGTATGATGGAAATGATGGCGATGAAAAAAATCAAATTGTACTATCTTAGCCGTTCTGGCCTCCTAATCCTAGAACAACTCCTAGCTCTCCCTTACCATGATATTCCAACTCAGGGACAAGACCAACCTAACCAACGACTACCATAGCTGATCTCTTCTCACCACCTAGACTAACCCCACCCCATAAGTTGTCGAGGCAGCCCTCCCGGTTCGCCACTGGTTTGCTTTCCTCCCTCAGCTAACCCCAGATCTCTGTACAAGGCCTCCCACTCCTGCCCAATTGCAGGTTACAGGGCTACGCCCCAGCTCCGGCCAGCGTCGTTCTAGCATCGGCGATCCAGGAGCATAGCACAGAGCAGCGCAACAATTATCAGCCCAGGTTTGACGATCTCGGAATTCTTGTATCCCTAGTGAGGTAGAAAACAGGGTGCCGCCTAAAATTGTGAAGCACCAGAAGGCTTGTTTTGAGTTTTTAAAATTTTGAAAAAGCTTTTATTGGATCTAAAGTATGTGGATATATCAGCAACTCCGACTTCGTAATCCGAGAGCAACTCCTAACCCTCCCTATACCAGGACACTACTACTCAAAGGCAGTATCAACCAAACAACATCAACCATAGCTGACCTCTTCTCGCCATCGAGACTATCCCCGACCCTAGAGGGTGTCAAGGCGGCCCCCCCAAATTCACCATTGGATTGCGTTCCTCCCTCGACAAACCCCAGATCTCTCTACAAGGCCTCACGCTCCTGCCGTAGCAGGTTACAGGGTAACGCCCTAGCTCCGGCCAGCGTCGTTCTGGCATCGGCAAGTTAAGAGCATAGAACAGAGCAACCATATTGATGTCAATCCAGGTGTAACCATCCCTGAGATCGAGCAACCATCCAGATGTCAGTCCAGATGCTGCTCTCAAAACCCCGGAAAGCTGAATGTAACATGTAGCCACTTCGCAGAGAAAAAAATTCCCCTATGCCACCACCCCTGTCCCACGCTGCCTCCGCCGAGGAGATTCACCTTGGCCCCAACCTGGAACAAATCCCCTCCCTCCCCCCTCTGCCAAGACAACCAATTCCCGCCTAGAGGTTGCCTTCGCCCTCCCCTTTGTCCCTATCTGCCCCCGTCGGGCTTGAAGGCGACCAACTCTCCCACCTCGGCCCCAGACAGGGACAATCCACAAATCTGCCCCACCCCCGACAGGGCAGCCACCTCCCACCTTGCAGCGCCCCTGTAGAGTAAGGCTCCCCAACACCTCCCCCACCCATTCCCCAAAAATCCACACGTGACCACAGAAACTCTAGCCCAAAGATATGATTGATGATGTTGATGATCGTGATACGATGAAAATTCTCGGTTGATGGTAATAACGTTGAAGATGTTGATAATTTTTAGAAAAATGGATGACAAAAAAAGGCTCCCAGCGGATGATAATACTGATGACGAGAATCAACTTCAGTTGATGAAGGTAAATGATGTTGATG